GCAATGGCAATCCCAAGGTTGCTTTCTACAACACTGAGTTAGGCTGTGGGAGCCTACAGAGACAACCAGGAAAGCTGATGAAAAGCTGTCATTTAAAATGAGGCCTGTTTCATGAAAGCCCCACAATACCACCTTCACTGCAAGCAGAACCTGAAGTTTTGATGCAAGTGTGTGCAAAGCACAACGGGTCTTTTCAGCAATTCTAAATGGAGCCAACGTCACGCTCTCCTCTGCTTTCTCCAGCACTTACCATCATGCACTATGAAATCCTGCACAAAAAAAAACAGCAGTAAGGTCACACAATACTGCAAGAATATCCTTTGAATACTGAAAAGGACACATCACATATAATATCAGCAGAGCTGACAGCAGTGCCATATAGACGTGTCAGCACCAATATCCAGCTGCCGCTGTGAAGCACTGCAGACAAACAGGACAAGAAACCTTTTAAAAATGGGGATTTCCATGCACCATTCCCCACAGGCTTGGAGTGCCAGCCTATCAACATTCAGAATCTGTGGAAGAGATTCTTGTAGAAGCAAGGCAAGTCTTTAGGATTCCAGCTAGTGAAACAATTAGCTAAACCTGAAAGTCATCTTACGTTAATTCATACTTTCTGGGTTTGCTCTTTCACGTGGATCATTATCTTACATAGTCTGCTTTTTACTAATGCTTTAACTATAAACAATGTGTTTCATTTTCCTGTTTCTTAAGCAAAATATCAATTAGTAGTTAAGCCAGCTTTCAAAACAAACATTATCATCCAAAGGAAGAATTGGGGAGCTGCCTCTCCATGCAGGTAAACAGCAATACTGACAGAAGGCGGCTGAGGTTGGTGTCTATCACTTTCTGTTTTTACCTCCTCCACGTCATTCTGACAGCACACCCACAAAAGATAAGGATCAGAGCTTTTCACACCCACGAGTGGTTTTCTTCAAAGGGAGAGGAGCTGCAGACTGCTGGCTGGCCGAGCTTCAGCGCTGGGTTGTGAGGGATGAGGTGCTCAGGGCTCGCTGGGATCAGGCCCCCACAATACCTTATTGCCCTCTGCTTTTACACCAGGACCCAGGCCGACCACAAGGCAGTTGCTGAACTCTGGTTTGCCCGTTACAAACTGATCAGCCCTTTGACTCCCCAAGTCTACCCTGATCCTGAGTCCCAGACTAAAGGGACCCCAAAGCCAGCAGGAGATCTATTTTTCCATTGAAATTTACATTCAGATATGAAGGAGGCTTTTACACCATCAGCAGCTGGAAAAGGAATCCTCTGGAGCTGATTATCCATTGTCTAAAGTAGCTTTTCACAAGGCCACTGCCCATTTTTAGGGCGGAATTAGGACTGAGGATGGCACAGCACTGAGGTCAGCCGCACCTCGGGCAGCTGATGGCTCCGGAAATACACATATTCCCAACTGCTCCTAAAACATATGGAGCTGTATGCAACCATCTGGGTGGTGAGAAAACTTCGAGTGCCTTGCCTTGCAAAGGGCCATCACCTGAAAGAACACTTCCTGAAAAGCAAAGAGGTCTTGAAATGATCCTGCAGGGCTTGCGAGAGGACCCCAAGTCTGAAAGCCAAACAAACAAAGCGCACATTGTCTGCAAAGCAAACTGGATCAGCACTTTTTCTTGAAGCCCTACAGACTCCATATGACCTGGCAGTGACTTCTGGCTCACGTAAATCTAGAATAAGCTTCAAATGTAACACCAAGGATTCCTTACTAGATACTGGGGTATTAAATCTTCTCAGCTTTTCCTGCTGACTCCAAGACCTTTTCCCTGGCACTGTATGTTTTAAAGAAAGAAAAAATACTGCAGCCACTGCATTTTGACCTTCCTGCCGTGAGCTTGATTCAAAGCAGATCTGAATTAGCAGCACAGATGAGCTGCCATAAACAGAGAAGAGGTAAGAATGGAAATGGAGATATCTTTTCTGTTTGGATTCAAAGAGGGCTGAGGACAGCAGTGCCCATAGTGCCTTCCCTACACACCCCTAACATGCTCAGCACACATTAACTCCTTAAAAAAATGCTTGGATATTTGAGCTGGGCTGTGTAGCACTTTTTTTTTTTCTCTCTCTCCTTCTCAGTGCTGCTTGCATATGAAATCTGAGCTCCATTTTCTCCTGCACAGCTTCACGCCGTGCTGTCCCGTGCTATAGGCACCGCCACAGACAGGACATGCTGCAATTCAAGTGCCAAAAGTTGCTAAAGCGCTTATGCAAGTTAATTACTGTGCCTGTTTAATCCCACATAATGCAGATTAGCGCTGCCAACTACCGCTCCGAGAGCAGTTGATGTAACAGGCCGCCTGCCATCAGCCACACCATCTCCCCGAGCCGCAGAATTGCTGATCCTGAAGTTAGGAAATAAATGCTGAGCAGTGATGGGAGCAGGGCCCTGTGGCACCGTCTCCTGGTCTCTGCCAGGGGGTAGGAAGCTGACACAAGAGCTGGGCATGGCTAAGAGATATAAAAGAGATGTCAGACTCCTCCTTTCCAGATAAAGTGCCCTTGATTATCAGCTTTGATCCCGTGCCCTGCTTTGGAAGGTGTGGATGAAAATCTTCTGAAGAAGAGTTCAGGAAACAGAGTCATGAAAGCGTCCCTCCTTCAGGACTCGAGCCAGAATGAAGCCAAGTCACTGCTGGCGTGTCAGACAGCAACAGCTCAGACACTCGGACATGAAAATGAATGGCAAGAGGCAGTCTGATCTGAGCAGCAAAGCATCCACACGGGAAGGGGGTGGTGAAAGGGTGAAGGGCTGACTGGGACCTACAGCTTCTCACAATCTGAGCCAAATCTAACTGGATTAATTTACAATCATTACTCAAGTGAGACGCCCTTTGGCATCAAAATGTGTTTATGTAGCACCTGCTTATTCCTCAAAAGATGCAAATACAACATGCCCGGGTACACAATTTCATGAACTAATGCCATGTCATGCCTCAGGATTTCCAATAAGGCTTTTCCTGCTCTGGAGGGGGAGCAATACCAGTTATCCTGACTACAGGTGGTATGGGAACAACATCGTTCACATGACACCACTGTCGGCTGAGCTGCTGTAACAGCACCCACTTCCCCAACCCAAGTACTATGGGACAGATCAGCAAATATTTTCCGCCTAACCAGATTTGTATGATCAAATGACAGCCTTTTCCATCGCTGCTTCGCGGCTGATAACACTTTGTTTCACGGAGTTAAGAAGAGCAGCACTTAACGCTATACCACAGGGCTTTTACCAGTGGCTGTGAGTCCGGGCACAGGATAGCAAACTGCCTCAAAGCGCTCCCGGCTCTCCCTTCCCTCTCATTAACCCGCTGTGTGCAGGAAGCGGCCGTCAGTCACCCCGCACGCAGCCCAAAGGAGCCCGGCCCCGCACCGCCCCGCCCGCGGCACTGTGGCGCCCCCTGGCGGCCGCAGGCGCAGCGCTCAGCCCCGCAGCTCCTCGCTCCTCCTTGAAAAGGAAAAGAAAGGAACAGCGGCACGCAGAGGAGGCTGCGGGAAAGCTGTGCAGGCCGGGTGCCAGACAGAGCGACCACGCAGAGGTAGTGAGCGCTCCTTAATGACCAGCATGCTTTCTTCATCCCATCCGTTCCTCTTTGCACTGCCAAAGGTCTCTTCACAAGCTTTTTCTATTTGTGATACTTAATTATAGCATGGAAAGCAGCCATAAGGCATACGGTACAGTTTCTCACCTCCTTCTACTTACATTCTGAGATGGATGTACTTCTCCAGCACACTAATATTTTAAGTGAAGTTCACTTTTTCATCTGATCCTCCTTTTCTGCAGCTGTAGAACTGAGAAAGCCCCTGCAGTGCGAGCAGTGCTCAGTGGTACCAACGCAGAACTGATGCAACAGCTGGAAACAGCAGCTGACGGCTGCCTGCAGCCTCCCGACTGCCAGAGCCCCACAGAGCCACCTGCTCTGGGACGAGGTGACATCACTTACCTGCCACAAGCAGCTGCCATCAGGATTCGTGTTTCTGAAGCATTCCAAGATGTATGAAGAGGCAGTTGTTCTCCATGCCTCTGTTTTTCCTATTTCTTGCTTTCAGGTATCACTCACTTTTTATTAGCTTCAACAAAACTGAGATGTGATGTTGAGGATAAACCATAATAAACTTCCTACTGAACACACGCAGAGGCATAACGAGACTGCTTCAAAGCAAGCCAAGGCTACCACATTTTATCCATTCTAATGCTCAGGGATATGATTTAGTGGAGGGTTGTTAGGATAGTATGGTTAGGCCGTAGTTGGATTTGATGATCTTTAAATCTTTTCCAACCTGAGCGGTTCTATGATTCTGTGCCTTTATGGCATACAGAGATGCAAGGTGGGATCCTTCCATAAAGGACTAAATCAGTAACAAAATGCTATCAGCCCTTCCCAGGCTTAGGAATTCATGCTTATCAGGACAGTTACTGCCATAAACATTGCCACAGTTCTTTATATGAAAGCTATGCTGCATCACCACTTTAAGGCGGCTGGTTCTTCTTTTCTTGATAGAAGAACACAATACCTCTTTACACAGTACTTTCTTACCCAAGCAGCCACTTAGTTCCTGTTTCCAGAGTTAAGCAGACTGTAGGGTTCATTCTTCTTTCTGGGGTGCAGATACTTAGAGTTTAACTCTTCAAGTTTGACCTAGAACTCGAGCTCATGCTTACGCTCAAGTTGAATTCAGCTCAGAGGCTCTGACATCACTCACTTCAGGGGTCACCCAACTTGATGCATTCTGCCCCCTGCATCCCCTTGGCCATCTGTTCCTGGCTGCAGATAGCTGCTGCTCAGCCTTCCCTGCCACCATCCCCTCCTTCCACAGACTCTTCTGGAGCACCCAGGAGACTGCAGCAAGTAATCCTTCACTGCCCCTCTCTGAGCCACCACCTTACAGCAGCTCTCATACACCCTCATGAGTTCAGTCAGGCCCTTGAGGTTCAGTGGATGGATTACAAACCCCTTAGTGAGAAATATTTGAACTCCAGTCGACACAAAAACTCTTTGGTACAAACCTTTATTATCTCACACCACCTTGCCACATCTATCACTGAAACAAATGGTGGTCATATTTTTCCAGTGCCATAAAAAGCTACAGTGTGTAGAATACTTTCCATGGTTCACAGAGTAAAAATTCTTAAGGAGTGATATGTAAAGGCTTTCTGTAAATGGAATTTGGAAGAGACATTCACTCACAAGGCAACAGGCAGGCACTGCTGGCTGGAGAACACTGGAGAGGCACTATTGCACGGCATAAACACAGAGCATCCATCTCTGCAATGGATGACCAGCTGCCCTGGGACTACCTGTCTCATTACAGGCACAAAGAGAAACATCACAATGCAGGTCCAGGTATGTGTGGACATCCCACCAAAAGTTTGAGCACCACATAAGTCTTCATATCAAGGTTTGTAAAGATCATCATTGGCAATATGCAGCATTTGTCAAGCAACAATATGTATTGGTTTGAAGATTATTTTACTTTTTCCTTCAATCTTCCTGTGTTATAAGGCAAAGAAAACACAAGAAGTCACAGTAACACAGCCCCTACTTATTCTAACTATGCTGGTTATCAACAGTATTCAGAGACCACAAGTCATTTTCTCATAAAATTCAGACCGTTTGTAAAGTTCCCTCTGGACCAGATATTGCCCAAAACCTGGGTCTTTATATTCCCTAGCAGAAATTCACTGGCTGAGTGCTGGTCACCTCTGACTGTTCCTTATGATTTGGGGCTAATTTGATCGATAACAATCTAAACATTACCCATCCTCAACCCAGTGCTTATGCTTTCATATTTACATCCTGAGCTTCTATATCATTAGGTACTAGGAGAAGAGCAGGCTGAAAATGAGAGGAAATGTCTTATTAGAGCAGGTGATCTAGGAGAGAACAGTCTGACACAGACTCACTCCAAATTCTTCCTGCATGACTACATCAGCACTCCTCATCAGGGCAGGCAGCAAAAAAACAAATCTGAAGGAAATTTCACATAGCTGGTATGCAAAAATGGGTCAGCAACTACGCAGTGCTCATTGCTTACTACAGCCTTCAGGATGCTAGAGGCTTCTCCCCACCTATCAAACCTGCTGTGTTTGATTTCCCTAGACACATGCCCTTCCAAGAGCTAAAACAGTCCTGAGCTTAAGCTCATGTTAAACATTCACACTCATAGTGCTTCCTCTTCTCAAGCCCTGCTTGTAAACTCCATTTCTGTGGACGATAAGTCCATACCCATTGTTTTGTATGCAAACAGTCATTCAGAGATCTTAACCTGGGGAGAGATGGACAGAGCAGGAGGAAGTTACATGCCTACACCACAGTGATCATCAGGCAGCAAAAGGGTTGTGTAGATGCATGCAAGAGCATGTGGCACCAAGAAAGCTGAAGTACATAGAGATGGATTGCGGACACAACAGCAGCCTGCCAGGGAAGAGGGAGCTTCTTCAGGCACCACAGCTTGCAGCTCTCATCCTGCCTCCCAGAAAGACATCCACAATCCTAGCAGGATTTGCTGGCTGAGTGCTGGTCACCTCTGAGTGACAGACACAGCAGAAGGCACAGCTCTCCTAAAGGACACCAGTCTGCTGGAGGCCTTCCACAACATGTTAGCCCAACAGAAATCTGCTCCATCTAGCAAGTATCTACAGCTTTGGTTCATTAAGAACCCACTCCTCAGGAATCAAAGTATTTCACCTTTTTCCCTAAAGACCTTCCTTTTGCTAAGATCTTTTCTTTCCAAGGCTTTAACTCTCCTCAAAATCCCCACTGCATTTCTCCTGAGGAGACTCAAATGTGCTCAGCATCTCCCAGGCAGCCAGCACTGCTACCTGCACCCTGTGCTGGGCTCCCCTGGCTGCACACAGCCCAATGCACCTGTGTGTGTCCTGTCAAAGCACCTAACCCACAAAAAGCTCAGGCACCAAAGCTGCCCAGGGCAAACCAAATATTTGCCAATAAAAGCAGGTCCGCTAAGTCCACACACAGATGGAAAGCATTTACAAATTGAAGAATTTCATTAAGAAGTTTAATAAAATACTGTAATTCTCTTCACACATCATCATCTCAGTGACCTAGGCACTTTAACTGAAAAGGAGTTTGGCTAAGATTTTTTTTCCCTCTTCAATGCACATCCACATTTAAGAAAAACCTCTCAAATCTAGGCAGCTGTTTGTACACAAAGCATCCTCTCTACCCACTGCACCTCAGAGCCCTGCTCCCACTGCCCTGGGGCAATTACAGCTCTTCACACAGACACAGCTCCCCATGTACCTCTCCACATCTATCAGTGGGGAAGAAAGAGGCATAAATCAAGAACACTTTTCTTGGTGAAGTGTAAGAACTAGACTTGAACAAATGCCACTTTCCCTTCCTTCTGTGGCAGTGCTTGGCATACAATTTCTGATTTGTACAGGAGGTGAAATTCACATCATTTCCACGCTGGTTTCATTGTATAATTCTCCTGTCCTGACATCTCCTGTGAGATTAGAACTAGTGAACAAAGCTGCTTCATCTTACAAACCGATGATCCAAAGTACAGCTTGTCTAAAAAGGCCATATTATACAGTGCTTCCCACCACCCAGCAGATACATGCACACAGAATAACTCAACACAATGTCCTTCCTTCCAGCAGAGTTTGGCCTGCTCCATCAGTTGGACAAACCACTTTTGCTGATTGTCCTATTCAAGGCAGAAAACTCTTAGTTATTCATGAATTCACACGTAAATGGCTTGTAGTAGCCACCTATTGAAAGCATACAACTTCTTCCATGGAAGAGCAGCAGACTCTTGATGTTCAGAGGAAAACTTGCTGTCATATTTGACATGTGTTGGTAGGACTCCCAGCTTCCAACGACAGACCTCAGGTCTATTTATTTTTCCAGCTCTTGATGTCATGCTGGGACAACGTCCTCTGCTCAAGCTATGGTAAAGTACTTGGTAGTAAGAACATCAGTGTTGGGTCTCTCACTGGCATTTTTAGTACTGATGAACCCCAAATGGCAACTTGAAACAGCACTTGCTTCGAGGCTCACACCCTAAGGATGGTTGGTTGTGTTTTTGTTTGTTTGTTTTTTTCCATAAGATAAAGATCAATAAACTATTTAATCCCTTCTTAAAATTGTTCCTTACACAAGGCTAATTATAGATTGCAAAATACAGATGGCAAGAAAAACCTCTTTCAGCATATATATATATATTTTTTTTTTCCATGAGATTTGCAATTATAAATTGTAATTTACTACTCAAAGATAAGAGTTTTGTGCTCAGGGATTCCATATTTTCCTTTGTGCTCTTCAAATAATTTTCTGAGTTCCTGCAGATACAGTGCATGTAGCTGTTCAACCTCTTCATTGGTGGGATTCGGGTTCTTTTTTACAAGGATGGGGCTTCCCACTGTAAATCAAACATAAGAGCAGGATTAGCTTCATTGACATCTCTTTTCAAGAGAAACCACTCTCCCTCCTGTAATAACGGCTCTGCCCCAGCTCACAGCAGAGCCACAACACAGTTTTCTTGCTCTTGGGCCTCATCCTGCCTTTCACAAACCTAATCCCTGGCTCTATTTCTCCCCAGCGTTGCTCAAAAGTCAGATAAAATGAATTAAAGCTTGCATCATTTCAGTTTGGCATGAGAAGAGCAAATGAGGAGGCTTAGCTCTAACTCAGAGCAGTTCACACCTAATGTACAACCCCTCGGGCTGCACACCGCCTTGCCACTGGGGCAGTGCTCCACGGAGACAGCTTAAAACAGCACTGAAAAAATCTCTACCTTCCCACTGTCTTCTGTTCTGAATACTACAGGTATCCAATGCGAGGTGCCTCAGCTATGAGTTCAATCACACAAACACACAAGGCTGAAGGGAAAACAAGACTGAAGGAAAAACAAATATCCTTCAGTCTACACAAAATGGGTATCACTGCACCTGTGCCAGAAATCCCATTGGTTACCTCAGCCCAGCGAGTGATAGCACTTAAAAACCCCAGAGCCTGTAAGGTGGCTCTGAGCCATACGCTGCCCACTAAAATCATTCCAGACTGAACTCCCTCCACATGTGAGGCACTGCATGAAACCTGCTATTGTGTTTCTTCAGCTGGGGCAAGATCTGGAAGGAACATGAAGTAATCCCAGAGAAGTCCAGAGGGCTGCCTCCTCCACAAAATACTGCAGTTTAAATGCAGTTAGCTAACAGAAACTTCCCATGATCTCAGTGTTGTGTTGTTCAATCACTACAATTTTTGAAAGTTGTTCTTCTTTCATTGGAAATGAATAGAGGAACAGAGCATAATAGACCTGATAAAGATTACAGAGGATCTAATCAACTCTCTGCTAGAAAAACAGAGAGATAAGAGCACCCCCAGCAGTTTTCAGAAACGCACCTGAAAATCCCTTTCAACACATATTGCTGATTCAAATTGGATGGTGTTGACTAAAGGGAAGTGAAGTGCAGCCAGGGCCTCAGAGGTGCTCCTTCTGCAGCTCTGGCTGCCAATTGCTCAGATTTAAGATGGCCAGGGGTGAGAAGCCAGCCCTGGGCTCAGCAATACCTTGAGCAAGGGAAATCACTATCCATCAAACACAGGACAGGAAGCACAGTGTCTGAGTCAGTGTCAGCTCCAGGAGGAGGAGGCTCACTGCTACCTGCCCGTGTTCTTACATGGCTAACCAGTTGGGTGAAGCTTAGTGCAGCCCTGCAGCTTTCAGGAGGTGAGCTGACACTTCAAAGTCTGCGTGGAGCCATAGCATGAGCTGCCCAGAATGCAGCTTTAAAACAAAGACAGCGAAGGCAAGGGCTTTCAGGAGATGATACAGGATCTGCTGCAAGACTCTGGTCTTGCTGATTTGTAGCATTACGGTGCTTCAGCCACAGGCCACCTCTGCCCTGGCAGGAGCTATTACAATAATGAAGATTTGCCTCTAACTAAAAAACATTGTAAAATTCAGAACAGGTAGAAATATAGCCCAATGAAGAACTGCAGAAAACGCATCATTTTCATTCCAGTGCTTTAAAAACTTCATGGCTTTAAATCAAGTGACATTTTCAGCCTGCTTATGAACAATGTGGGCTTTAAAAATTAAATATTTTCCAAATTATTTTATTAGATGCACTAATTAAACATAAAAAGGGCTACTTCTTTTGTCTTAAATGTATGGATCTGATTCATACTAAAATCAAATCCTCCTTCCACTAAAGGGAGGGCCTTCTTAGATGTCCCTTATGGAAATGCCAAACAAGCTCTGCTTAGTTTTCTGTAGAAACAGAATTGATTAGTTCAGAATCCAGCTGAATAAGATTTATCCACAGTATGTAAGCAACCAACTCTTGCTTTGCACAACCCCTACCATAACCTTTCTTTTTTTCTACCATTTAAAAAAGACATTCAGTCCTACACTCCAGTGAGAGAAGACGATAAGGATGAAAGCTTCGGGGAAAAAAGTTCTATTCTGAACTGCCTGTCAACATGGCATGCATGTTCTTAATTAAATGTGAATGGATCTTCCCATGGGAGGAAAAAAAACAACTAAACCAGGGAGTGGGAAGGAAGGGAACACCCCGGGGAGCTGCAGGGCCAACCAAGCAGCAGCCTGCTGAAGGCGTGTTCTCCCTTCTCTCCCCAGTACCAGCAAGCACCACGCTGGAATCACCCAGCTCCTTCCAACTGCCATGCTGCAGTGTCTGCACTTCTTCTCTACAGGTAAGAAATGAAGATGCTGAGCCTCTTACAAAGTAACATCAGCATCCAGAACGCACAGCAGTTCTGGTGTGGGCTGGACAACCCCTTCTGTTTCCTTGAGGACTGTTTAGACTGCTGCTGGGAACAACTATGAATAAAGAATGACTTTTGGCTTGGGACAGAAAGGGGAAAAGGAGAAGAGATTTCCCCCTTTGAAAAATATATGGAGAGGTAAATTTATATCTCACATGCTCATCTTAGATGCGTAGTAACCAGATGCTTCAGTTAGATTTATCCATTCACATAGATAACATCACAAGTGTTCACATAGAACACTTTTGCATTTTTAAACAATTGCAAACGCATTAGAAAAGGCACAAGGAACTCACCTACAGTATGAATTGGTTGCCTGAAAGGTATTAAGCCAAAACTGTACTGAAATATTCCTCGGGCATGAAACAGTGGTAGAGCAAAGCCCATTATCTTTTGCAGCTTGTCCTGTACAGTTCTGAGCCGTGAACCTCTGGGGTTTGCAACTTGCTTGAAGAGCTCATTTTCACCAAAGGAAAACACTGGGACCAAATGAGCTCTGTAAAGCAAAGAACAGTGAGAATCCCACACCAGCCTGCACTCACACTGTGGTTCACACCAGCAGCATGGTAACTTTCCCAATAATCAGCACAGAACTTCTGCGCTCCAGAACTCATCAGTAGCAGCATTCAACTCTTCTGATACACATCTGCTTTTTGGCTGTGTATAGGTTTTGTTTCCAAAAAAGAAGTCATTCACATACAAGTAGCATTGAGTATTTGGGCAGTATTTAGCTGTTTGCTACCCATTACAACCTTTGATTAATCATCATAATAAAAATGGATAATTGTATGTACTGTAATTATGATCTTATCCACCGCTACTCCAGAAAGTCCACTCTTGTTCCACTGTGTTTTCATCTTTGGCAGGCAAAGAAGCCCCACTGCTAACCTCTCGGTGCTCCCAGCTGGGCGATGCCAGAAGCAGATCTGAGCCCTTCTCTGGCTGCTGGCTGGAATAATGCATGCACTTGAGCTCAGCATAGAAAACATGACAAAAAACAGACATCCGTACAAACAAAAGTCTGATGCCAAACTCCCTCACTGTCCAACTCCCAGACTTCTTGGAACACCGTTCTTCAGCTATTATTTTATCAAGGGCCAGATCATACCCACAGAAATCATACTAACTCACTCTGGCTCCTTCACAGCTGAGTGAATTTTCATTCGGTTCATGAACTGCATTGGAAGGAAAGGCACTGAGCAGTTTGGATTAACTAGCCTGGGCACTTGGCACCAAGAGGCAAAGGTACCACTATACTTTCAGTCTTAACAGCAGCATAACCTACGATTAGATCTTAGTATGATGAAATCACATTCTACACAGTTTAAGCTCTTAAAAAATGACCAGGGTGATCCTAAGCAATCTCTGAAGGATGTTTTATTTGCTTTACCTAAGTCTTAATTTCACCCATTCCACTCAGCTTGCACTGTCTGTCAGAAACGCTACGTTATAGCAGCATTGCTATAATATTGCCAAGGTGATTTCCCACAGAGTTCTGAACTCCTGAAGAGGAGGCACTGAGGGCAGAGCTGGCTGTAAAGAACTGTGAACAACCGAAACCTCCTGTATGGACAAAACACTGCTTTGGGAGCTTCTTGAGCCTGAGAGTTCCCAAATACTGTAACTCCCACTCCCTATTCCAACTGGTGTCTGCTCAAAGGTTAGTTTCTCCAATGGAGTGCATCATCCAGCTGCTTGTAAACCAAGTATTAGCACAGTATGTACCAGGCTTTCCATGTAAATACTCCATTTTTTACTACAACGCTGAGACAAACAGGAAAATCTTGTGGAGCAATAGCAACCTAAGACTGAGATTTGTTCTAATCTGCATGGTGAAGGCTGTTGCAAGACACTATGTAGGAGGCTGTGACAGAGAAATAAGTAATTTCTGATTGTGAAACTAAGGATAAGTTGGCTGATTCATCATTTGTTTCACATTTTTAGGATTTCTTCACTTCATATCAGATACCTCTATTACTTTGGACCACAATGTCATTTTCAGCAGCAGACAACTTCATTTTACATACCCAGAGCATGTTTGACAAGTTCCCAGCTGAGGAACCAGTGCTTCTCCGTACTAGCAACACAAGAGCCAGGCCAGGGAGTACAAGACTCCTGGACCCTGCATCACCCTTCCTCATCCTGTATGATGCTGCATCCCTCCTTTGCCTTTTCACTTGAGTTGGAAGCTCATTTCAGATTTTGGTAACTGTTAGAAACAAATGTTACAAAGGATATGTAACATATAGATATGTTATGGATGACATGTATATGGATATGTTACAAAAAGATAAGTAACTACTGGATGCAGAGCCTTTGGCACAGGATCTCAAGACTTCAAAAGCTCAATGTCCTGTCATCATACAGTCCAACCATACAGAAGTTATATCAGGATTCCCACACTTCTCCTAGCAGCTGTTCCCTTGAACATGCTCAAACTTTGACTAACTTGTTGCCTAGCAGTTAGGATGATCACATGTGAGGTGTACTAAGCCATTCAGGCAGAGACAGAGCATTATTGCCCTCTCAAAGCGCTCTAGACACTAATCCCCTTTCTTAAAGAGGATAACAATTATGTGAAACACCAAACTTCATAAGGCAAAAAGTGGCCCTTACTGTGTTTTGTAAGTGTCCTGACCTTGTCATCACATGTGGGGATGCTCTTGAAATCACAAGCATGAAAGGCACAGGAGTATCTAGTTTCTCAATCCAAAAAAGCTTAGATGAGAGATAAATACCAGCCTCTGTGAACTGACAGATCAGATGTACCTGGATATGCTCAAAAAAGCACTTCTAAAATTTATGGTAATAAATAAAAACTACTGATGGTGTTTAGGACCCCATTGGAATTATCAGCAGTTGAGCAGAGATTAGTGCCTAAACAAGTCTTTGCTCCGAATCCCAATTTAAACACAGAAGTGTTGTTTCTGGGTACAAATTACACTAAATTATTACTTTATCAGAAAACAGATCCTTTATGAGAATTCTAGTGACATTTATACATAAAAAAACTCTTGTAACTATTCTGTGTCAGAATATTTCTAGAAAAAAAAAATTGACCTCAGCATGTGGGTGAAAACAGCGACCTCTGTCAGAGCCCACTTTTTTCCAGTTAATGGTTTAAGAAGAGTGCTACAGATCTGTCAAGGATTAATACTGGTTTTTCATTGCACTGCATGTCATATATAACTCTGAGTGTCTGACAGCGTAGCAGAACAAATCGATGGCTCCACTATTCCTACTACACAAGATTCTACACCAGTCCAGCATTAATAGAACTTGTACTGTGTACAACATGCTAAAGGTATTAATACCAGCTCTGTTTAGTCATACATTCATGGATGTTTGATAGTAAAAAATAAAAGCTAGCTTCTCTAGAGATTCACTCCAAATATTCCCAGAAACCTACTTCTGGAAACAACAATCTTTAAAAGAAATTATTCAGAATGGAGATGAAAAGAAATCTTCCTGGACTATGCTTTACAGTGATTTAATGAAACAGGGCCTAGCGCTCTTATTTACTTATTGGCTTCAAATGATAAAAAAAACTCTGTTGTAACAAAACTTCAATACACAGAAGAGAAAACAGAACGGCTGCAGTCAGCAATAAAATCTGAGGTTTACTAACACTGTTTCACAATTCTTACTTTTTGCTACTGCAATATAAACCAACTGAAATAGATCACCAAGATATGCTAATAAGTCCACCTACTTCTCACCAATTATGAAAGGCAAAAGGGATTTTTCAACACTCACAGATTGGATCGAGGTGCACAGACTGGCTCTTATGTCAGATATCTGCATGTATACACACAAACAGTTCTTTCAAATTCTAATTCTGGGTTTACTATACACAGCATGTATTTAAGACTCTGCATTCAAAGTGCACTTGGTGGGACAGCCCAAATGGGATACATACCCATGTTTCAAGGCCATTTTGATGAAGCCCTTCCTCTTGAGAATGTTCAAAGTCAAACTCCCAGGATGTGCATTCAGAGATTCCTCTGCTCCTCCAATCACAATGACGGATGCATGGCCGCCTCCCGCGTTATTCAGCACGTATGAGACGCTCTCCTTGGAGGCAGAAACCATTCCTTTAGGAGCAAACATTTCGAGAGTGATTCACTACAGCTTCATTTGCAAGTACTGTGGAACTCATGAAATATTTTTAAATAGCGTCTAAATGATGTTTCTAAACACTTAAAGCACGTGACAAGAGTTTAAAGATTTGGGTTCAACCTCCTCACTCTACAAAAGATTTGGTCTTAGATCTAAGTCCTTTAATTTCACACTTAGGAGTTAAATTATTTGCCTACCACAGAAATCTGAGATCTTCAGGGAAGAGTATGTCCTTCTGCCCGCTCAACACAACTCACTCCCACATTCCATGTCAAAGAACTGGACAGCTGAATTGCAGCAGATAAAGCCATAAAGCACAGAGGGCTTAACAGAATGATTGGTGAACTTGTTAACTTAAACACAGATCTATAGTGCCAAGCTGATTCTCTTCTCTTCAGAGCTCTTAGCAGCAGCTTCACTGAAGGCAGGGGCACAGCAGCATTAGAAAAAGCAGGAAAGGCTCAGCTGTTTCAGCTTATGATGACTACATCAGCTTATTCCCTAGTAACCAGAACCTGCCACTCAAACTTATTGAGGCTAATCCCTTCTTGCTTGAGTAGCAGTACTTTCCTGGCGCTGCTGCCACACTGATACTTCTACTCAGAGGCACCACTGACATATAAGCCCATAGTATTGATTCGGACCTTGCTCTGAACTTGGTACACTGAGAAATCCCCTTTCTACCAGGAATATCCAACCCCTCCAGAGTTCCTTTGTACAATAAATTCTTACTGAAAAGGCTCCTAGTGGTACCACTCGCACAGAAGCAACATTTAGTCGTATTGTGTTGAATTAATACTCAGCTTCTAGAATAAATAGTATTAGATAAAATCTACCTGGCTTTTTTTTTCATTTTGTGTTTTTTTGGTTGCTTGGTTTTTGGTTGGTTGGTTCGTTTTTGTTTGGTTTGTTTTTGTAGTGCTGTTTTGGGTTTGTTGTTTTGTTTGTTTTGGTCTGGTTGTTTTTTGTGTTGTTTTTACAGGGCTTCCATCAAAACCTGCTCTTTGAATGTTAAGTGAAGGCTTCTTCTTTCTATCTCCCACTGAGACATAGCAACATGAATTATGAACATCTCACAACAAAAACCAACAATTGTGATCTACTTTTCAGAGTTGGCTACCAAGAGAAATAGCTTGCTACTGGAGCAAATTCAGAGCACTCTGTAAAAAAAACTATTTGCCACATACAATTTCACAGTCACTATTACTCTGAAAAAGGCAGCTGGCCTGAACCCTGCAAGTCATTTGAGTGATGCTCTTTCACCAATCAACATGCATTTTCTCAAAGAGAAAGCAATGTCTTTCCTTGGGACAAACTCCTCTCCCTTTTGAAGTGGAGGCAGGGCACTGCTCCCATCACACAGCAGTTCAGCTCAGGGAGAAAAAGGCTGGGAAAGAAAATAGTATGCTACAAGCATGGCTTTTAATAATGAAGATTTTGTAAGTGTTTCATAATTTGACTGATAACCTGTATTATACTGAAGGGTCCCCTTTGGTTTATCAGCTACAGACCAGTGGAAAAGAAGCTAAGCTGCTGACTATAATGTAGCATGTTTTTACTCAAGATATTTCTCATCCAGCAGTTAAATATTTATTTCTGTAGGTCAAGATGGCAAAAACATGTAAACTGACTTTCAGGTTAGGCAATGTTTAAATTTGTCTTCTTCCATCACTATCAGTCATTCAACTTTGCAAGCCTGAAAAAATGCTCTAAAATATATCTATATATTTTTTTTGCATGGAGAGGCATCCAGTGGAAAGCTGAAGTAGATGTAGATTTGCAATTCCAGGATCAGTCTAAACATCCTAGGAATGTTTCCCATATGGAGCAAATGAATAGCTTGTCTGAAATCAGTATCTATGTTACAGTCAGGACTAAGAGCTAGCTCTGTCTCTCAAACCTCCTCTTGTCCACTGCACTGTACTTTCTCAAATGCTGCAGTTCAATGAATTTAAGTGAAATAGCTCCTCTATTAATCCACTGTGGGGAAACACTAGTCAGTGACAGAACTGTAGTCCTGATTTCATTACACATTTTTCTATTTACTAATCTCTATTGCATGCTATTTTTGTCTTTTATTATTGCACTACTAATGACCAGTATGACTCCTTTATGACAAATGCTATACAGAACAGTGAAAAAAAGTGTCTGTCTTTACAGTTTATATCTGTTAAAATTACACAAATTTGAAATGTGGGACCTTAGTCAGAAGTAGGTAATTGACTTTTGACTAAATCTGTTTGTACTGAGTAGGACTTTAAGCTTTACAGGTGAGAGATTATCCTCAATTTGTTTTTCAAGCATCATTGCACAATGACTGAATTACACTATACCTTCATAAGCTGTCCTCCTCTTGTAAATAACTGCTGCTTAGCACTGCTGTCTCTCAGTTAGAGGAGAGACCAGCATTTTTTCATTAAACAAAAATGGCTCAGTGATACGAGTGGCAAAAGAAAAAACCACAATCCTACAGTCCTGAAACCCCCCAGCGAATCTATTGGAAGCTCTGTAGGAACCTTTTAGCCATACACACTCCTGACTTCCCAACCAGCAAAATTTCCTTGGTATCAAGGTTATTTCTGAAGCACAGCCTCAGGCTAATGTCCAAACCAATGTTCAAAATGCCTCTTTAATTCAATTCCCCACTTTGAGAACCACTTACTAAATCGTTCATTCTCACAACACATTTAGGGTAGGGTGAAGGAACAGTGATTGCTTAAAAGCCACCAAACAGGTGCCAGAGTTCAGCAAGGGTGGGAGGGCTGAGCTAGGGCAGGTTCTGAGGTTTGGAACAGCAGGGTGGGGAAGAGAAAGCAAAGCTCTGGAAAACACCTCTGACCAAAGGGTACAGAGAGAGTGTGGGCTGCTGGAGGCTCCTTTCCCCTTGCCTGGCAGGCAGGCGACAGACAGGTGACATGCCCATTCAGTCCCTGGCTGCCTTAGCTCCTGCTCTCCTTCCTACCTTCTTGCCACATCTAGAAGTAAAAGACAAAAATCAGTTTTGCAGTGACACTCTCATGATCAGCAATTACTCGCCCTATAACTGTTTATTTCTTCTAGCTATGATAATGTTTTAAAAGGTAGAGATATAGGGTTTGACCTTAATATTTCAAATTTAATAACTAGTATTAACACCCAACAGTTCTCTCTTAGAAAAGCAATTACTTTGAACCTGTTCCTGCTGTTCCTCTTTTTTTTTTTGCAGTGTATCAGCTGTATTGCATCTGCTCAGACTTCCACTAGGATCAATTTTAAATAATGATACATCAGACAGTTTAGCAAAATTAACAAACTTCCCAACAATTTCAAAATTTTGCAACCAGAATTCAGTTCATCATATAACAGGTCCAGATAAACACCAGCACTGATTATTCTGAAGTGAAATTACAGCTTACAGGTACAGGATCATATCATACATTTAAAACAGAAGGTAGAAAATGTAGTGAGAGCTAAGACAGTCTGCTTTTACCTACCAGCACTCATTACATATTCTCTGAAGAAAGGACAGCCAAACCAGATGGGCATGATATGAAGATATGGAGTAAGTCCGGGAAATAAATTTTTGAAACTTGGACCAGTGCAAAAGTTTCCAAAGGCTCCAGCCACCAGCACCCCATGAGGGTGAAAGCCAAGTAAGTAGTTGTGCTTTGGATCCAAATCTGAAGTTTTGATTAGCTGAAAAAGAGAGACAGTGGAAGACATTTTAATTCTTGTATCACAGCTATTCTGAAAAACAATGAAGCATGGAGGCTGCATATTGACATACTGACATTAGTCCATGCCAACAGCTATTCAAGCTGTCTCTTTTAAAACGTTTACAGTTTGGTGAGAAACCTTTTACTCACCTGAATGGGGAAGTACTCCCTGAAGTAATTCCAAACAGTCCAATTCTTGACCCACTGTGACCGCCTGCCCCCAGCGCATGGCGTTCCCCAGTCGAGGTACAGCCACAGCAGGTACAGAACACCAAGGAACCAGAAGTTGCTCAGAATCAAGAGCACGAATAATCCACAGCAAAACTGCCCTGCAGATGAAGGAAAATAAAACAAAAATCACATAACTGCTACTAATCGCTGTAGGATTGGTTGGTTGTTTTTGTTTGTTTGTAGACCTTGAATTCCCATTGTTATGGGAATATAACAGAATATACACACACTGAAGTTAGCTTGTTCACAATGTGTGAAAAAAAATAAAATAAAAAAAGATGCAATATTCCAGTGAACCAGAAGTTGGCAGAAGAGGTGCAAAATGGAAAAAGGCTGCAGCAAGACCTCGTATTAATGGAAATGGTGTTGGGCAATTCTTTTTCCTTTCTGCTTCTTTATTTCTCTACATATATGACATGGATGGTACTTCTCCCTATGAAAGGTGCTCTGTTGCTGACCAAGCAGAAGCACTAGACAAAACCAAAATAGCAAAGGTTCCATTTCAGCCTCTGAACGTGTCACTGCAAAGAGAAATTCACCATTTCTTTGGCGATACAGTAGCAGTTTTACACCCTGCTACCTTCAGACCCAGGTAAATAAGAATTGTGGCATCCTACAATATAAATACACACAAAATACACAATTATACACAATTCAAAAAACTAAAAAAAAGCAAAAAAAAGGTTAAACATATGTTATTTTGGGGCTCAAATCTGAAATTCAGGAAAACTCCCTATGGAAACATTACCCTTGTAGGACTTGCAGAATTTCGTGCTCTTGCAGCAAAGCAAACAGATGTGGGCAGCCAGCAAAAACCAGGGCAGCAGTACGTGCTGCTGTCTGCCTTGCATTACACCTTACATCAGCTGCTTACTATGGCTTCTTGCAAGTACAATGCATCAGGTGCATGGATAAGAGTAATTCAGCAGATGCTAAATTCGAGGTGACCCTGGTTTTGGTGCTGTCTGTTCATATGACAGCAAGAAAAACAGGACTTAGTCCTCACTGGAAGACTCAACAGGCAGAGTTGCATCACACAGGCATTATTCTGTGGCACCTCAGAAAGCAGCCTTTTAAGAAGCACGTTGTATATCTCACAGCTGACAGTCTTTCATGAAGGCAATACCCTGCTGCTTCCCAAAAGAAGTTGTACCAGTGAAACACCCTGGGCTAGGTAAAGAGAGCAGAGTAAAAACATCACAGAACTACAGCAGCCAATAATTCGACTAACACAATGTAAACGTTGGCAGCATTTATAACTGTGAAATAAGCAACAAACCAACTGTAGAAAACCACTTGTCTTAGTTAAGATGAGCTTCATTAAAGATTTTCCCTAGCAGAGTTTACCTGGGAGCTGAAAGCTAACAGCAGATTCCCTACATCAGGGAAGTAGGTTTTGAGATGTTGAAATCAGAGCCTAATTTGGCATATAGGCAGTCCTGCTTTTCCTCCAACCTGAATACTTATTTCTTCCTGAATTTCTCCCAACTCACCCCCTTTGGCCCCCCTTTTGCACCTCTCTGTGCCTTCAGTGTAGAAATGGATATATTGTTATGAGGTAACTGAGTATTACTGCAGAATGCAAAAATGGGCAAAGCTGCTGGTTAGACTGTATAGGAAAGGGATGAATATTCCTGGCAGGGAATGAGCAGAAAAATAAGGAACTGCATTTGTTTACAGGAAAGAACAGAGAACAACCCCCAGCCAAAACTGAAGCAGGATCAAACATCCCTGTTGCGAAGGATGCTCCACAGTTGTTTCAGTAGAACCAGGACAGAAGGCTACTGCTTCTACTTAGACCTTCAAAGTCAGTGTGGAGAACCCCCAGAAAATGGCAGCAGGTTCTAGGGAGTACCTTTACCACGGGTCAAGGTGAAGGAGGACACTCAGTTGCACTTCTCCTGAGAGAGAACTCACTGGGAATCCCACACTGGCAACACTTTGAAATGAGGAATAGAAGGATTTGGAGGAAAAGCCCTTAACTATTCTTTGAAGTAGAAGAAATCGTGAAATAATAGAAATTACCATGAATGATATCTGGACAGGATACAAATGGTCACAGGTTATATTTGAATAAGAACAGTAAGTTTTTTAATTGCCATCAATTAATGAATATCAAGTTCTCAGGAGGAAGTTGGTGTTTATGTTCCCTAGCCTTTCTTTCAGAAGCACTTTTGGCTCAATGCAGAATCATGTGGCTTTTAAGTACCAGTTACTAGCCAAACAGCTGAAAGGGGCCTTGGATCAAAGCAAAGCATCCTTGCTATGAAAGCTAATTAAATCAGCAGTGTGAAGTACTAGATAGTGCTATTTAATGCCATGCAGACAGACATACAGTGGAGACTAGCAAGCTCACTGCTTTGCTTTAGCTAGAACAAAACTGGAGCCAAGGTTACTGCAGAAGGTACAGGGAGTCGAGTACACTGCCAACACTTCCTAGAGCTCAGCATCTTGTAGCACAAAGCCCATTTATTATTGCATTCACAAGGAAATATGCAAAGCAAATTCCTTCTACCATACCTCCTTATTATTTCAATGCATTAACTCATGGCAAGATGAGTTAAACACTGCTGACTCAAAACCAATGAGCCTGTAAACACAAAACCTGTATTTTCACCTTCAGAAAAGTCAGTGAGTAACCACTTTAAATTCACAAATTCCAGGGAAAAGGTGAACGACATGGAGTTTGTCACTTGGCTGTATCATTGCTCCCTCCAATGTACTTCCAGCATACACTGTAAGTAATTTTTGAATGAATTTGAATTAAAGCTTTGAAAATATTTCAGTGGTGTTTTGAAGCAGTGGGTGGAAAAAAGGAGAACAACATGGATTAGAAGATAAATCAATACTACGAGATTCCCAATATCTGGTTTGCCAGCCAAAACTGGGCTAGTGACTTTTTAAGTTTCTTTTCCTCTGTTTTTCAAATTATGACATGGGGATACCATTCTGCTGTGAGTGTGATGAAGAAAATCTGTACACAGTGTAAGCTGGTAGTACCAGCAGCCATCTTGCCCAATGATGCTTGAACACCTGCTGTTTCACTCAGCAATCTCATGCCCTGAGATTGCAGCAGCAAGCACCAAATCCATAAAACAGTTAAATAGCACTGAGATAGGAAGTAGGAAACCAGTATACTGGGTTGGTAAACATGGGCAATCCCGCCAAGTGGAAGCTCCAAATCCATGTGCACTTATAAAAGAGCTGAAAACATCTGAGTAGTATCTGCTGTGAGGGCCCCCAAATCTAAGATCACCAACAAGAAGAAAAGCCTCCCATCGCTCTCAGAGCAACAACAGCTCATGTTGCCAGTATAGACTCTCCAGAGCACTGCAGTAATCAGTACCTTCAGCTTGCCTTCCAAAGCAAGGCCACTCACATCAAGCTCTCTGGGTGCAGGAAGGCTCAGACAGCCCAAATTCTGCTGCAGGTCCCGCTGTAATTGCAGCATCTGCACACCCTTAGCAATGCTAAGAAGGCTGTCAGAGTTGGGCAATTTGAACTTCATCCCTCAGAGGATGAGGTAACTGGGACATCTCTATGCCACTGGGATTATGGTGAATAAATATGCTAGTAGATATGTGATTTTTAATACTTATACTCCACTGGGCTTTGAGCATGAATGCCTACCAATACGTAACACAAGCCTGCACAGAAAGCAAGCTAAAAATTTCATTTCTTACTTCATGGCCATAGGGGAAAAATAAAGATAGCATCTTCTTTAACAACTGCATTGACATACCTACCACAGAACAGACCTTTCCTCATCCTTAAATCTTCAGAGCAGCAACACTTCTGAGCTGTGTGTGAGGAACAGAACACTGGAGGGAATGCAGAAGGAGAATGATACAGCAATCTTTTAGTCCCTAATGGAACACTTTTTTCCTCTCTATTATCACTCAAGGTAACACTGATAAATTGATATTGTCATTGCAAACAATTTCTCCCTGCTTACTGGATGCTTTTGTTAGGGAAAAGAAAAAAACAACTAAAAAGCAACTTCTGGAAGCACTTTCTAAGTTATCTATAACTAGTAAAGAAAGGGATAGAAAGCACAGGAACTTGCTGCCACTTTCTACCTGTGGCAGATATGGACTTCCAAACAAAACTTACATCTGCAACAAAAAGGAGCTAATTTAAACTAACTGCACTGGAAAGTAGTTAAAATCCACTTAGATTTTGTAGCCATCTTCAGGATAGAGATGACGAGGAGGTCAGCATTGTTAAATAGATCACTGTTCCTTCTTGGTGCATTGGTCACAGTCCAGAGCCACAGTCACAGGATATTTGAGCATTCCTACCCAGGGAGTTGTATTTCAACACTACCCTGATAACAAATACAAATCCCCAGATGCCAAGGTTTGGAAGGTTGGTTTAAAAGCTTGTTTACTCTGCAATTTGGTTCTATTTTCAAGCAAGTATATCTTCCACTGGCAAATACTGATAAACTAGAGATACAGAGCATTAGGTACTATTATCTGTAAGACAGAGCCGTCTGGATACGGTAAATCCCTGAGTTACTAATTACCAAATCCTGAGACAGCACACCAAAGAACATATAAGTCTACAAACTTCCTACACCTTTTATTCCTCCTTAGGCAATCAGTGTTAGTTAAGCCAGGTTGCCACACTAGATGGCCACCGGCCTGACTGAGCACAGCCATTTTTCTGTTCTTATATACACACAGACATGGCTAAATTCCCTCCCTAAGATGCAGGTAACAGAGCTAGCATTCCTAGAAATACTAGTCAGTCAGGCATCAGCAAATACCCTGTTATTCTGTGATCATACATCAGTCCCTGCCCGAGGGTCAGCAATACACATCCGGGCTAGGTGAATACAGAGAGGCATGAAAACAAGCACACTATCAGCTAGCTAGCCAGGAAGGGCTCGTGGCTTTCAGAACAACTTGTCTGTTAAGGAGAGAGAAGTGCAAAGCTTTGAAGAAGAATGAGATAGTGGTTTTGTTAGCCAGCCAGCTGATGAATCAGTTTAACATAGGGTAACACAGGGTAACAAACCATCAAGAAATGTTTGGGGAAAAGGTTATTTTGCTTTCTGTTATGAGCACATCACAGCACGCACCTGCTTTCTCATGCTGAAGTCACTTGTTATTCCAGTAGCAATATCTCACTCTGTGGCAATTGTTTCATCACTTTTATTATTTTGGGGAAGCCAGAATCACAACTCAAATCGTCTCCGGCCAAATTCAGCTAAGAGTGTTTCATCCTACATCCACAGAAGTTCGATTGCTAGAGGACAAGGTGTACATCAATATACAGTTTCCTTCGGCATATTATCTTGTGGCTTCATGCATATTCTAGTTTTTATTATGTATTGATTTAGTATTATTATTTTGCAAATAAACACAGGAGTGCACGTGTAACACTCGCTTCCCAACTCCCCAGTAAGGGCAAGCCAAGTCCCACCACTGCTGGGCATAGAAAGTAAACCCTAAAAGAGGTACCATGTGTGCCTCAGCTCAAAACTAAATCCTGGTACCTTGTCCAAGGAATGAACACATTTTATCTCCCTCCTTCACTGCTTACTGTTACTTGATTTATGCGTATTAGAGTGGGAAAAAGACTGCCAAGCTTAAAAACAAAGATCACAGAATCATAGAATACCCTGACTGGAAAAGGATCCTCAAGGATCCTAAAGTCCAACTCCATGGCTCCACTCAAGACCACCCAAACCCAACGCCTGAAAGCGGTGTCCCAATGCTCCTTGAACTCTGGCAGCTCAGGGCTGTGCCCACCGCCCTGTGGTGCAGAACCTCTCCCTGACCCCAGCTCCCCTCCCCAACACAGCTCCATGCCGTTCTCTCAGGCCCTGTCACTGTCACACAGAGCAGAGCTCAGTGCTGTCCCTCTGCTCCCTGTGAGGAGCTGCAGCTGCCATGAGGGCTCCCTCAGCTCCTCTGCCCTGGGCTGAACAAACCAAGGGACTTCAGCTGCTCCTCACACTCTTGCCCTCCAGACACTTCTCCATCTTTGCAGCCCTCCTTTGATGTTCTCTGATAGTTTTATGCCCTTCTTATACTGCAGTGCCCAAACCTGCCCCCAGTGCCCATGGTGCGGCCACACAGTGCAGAGTGGGACCACTCCTTCCCTCACCCGGCCTGATGCACCTCAGGGTATGGATGGCCCTTTGGACTGCCAGAATACACTGCTGGCCTACGTTCAACTTGCTGTCAACCAGAAACCCCAGATCCCTTTCTGCAGGACTGCTCATCCAGGACTGCACAATCCCAGGTACAGAATCCAGCACTTGCTCTTGCTAAATTTCATGTGGTTGGCAATTACCCAGCAATCTGATTTGTCAAGATCTCTCTGCAAGGCCTCTCCACCCTCAAGGGAGTCAACAGCTCCTTTCAGTTAGCATCATCTGCAAGCTTACTATAACTTCAAACCCTGTATCCAAGCAGTTGATGGAAACATTAAATAGAATAGGCCCTAAAACGGAGCACTGTGGAAGCCCAAACCAGTAATACCCCTTGTGTTCACTGCCTGTCACTATTTTGAGAATGGGATGCAATATGGGAACAATGCAAGCTCTCTGCTCTTGCCCCTAGTCAGCCCAGCAGCACTAGCAAGCTTGCAGATCTCATTTCTCCAGGTGATGTTCTGCTTGGGATTTGGCTGGAAAACAGCACAGGCAGCCCAGAAGCAGCCACCAGCACACAGCAGCATGCACTGCACAAACCTGGAGTCAGACCTGCCCTGAGACTGCCAGTCCCTGGCCAGGCCAACGAACAGTAATTACAGGCATAAAACTACATTCACCAAAATCATATCTTGCTTTTTTTTTTTTTTTTTTCCTCCAAAATAAGATATTCTGAAATTGCAACAATTCATATATTTGCTGTTTCAGCAGTGAAGCACTAATGATTTGACACTAAGCTTCAGCCTGAAGCTTTTCTGGATATGACAACAGCAGACTTTGATACTTTGGTTTCCTAGACTCCAAGCTGATACTTTTCTTTGAAAAGCAGCAAGCCCATTTAGAACACTTTTCTCTTTCATGGAACTTGACCTAAACTACTGCAGCCTGCTGCACTTAGAGCGCATGAGAAAGTAGCGCAGAGCAGGAAACTGTTAGACTAGCTCCTAGATACAGTTCATAGTATTTCAGAGTTCATTTTTGCTTCTGGAGTCATGGATAACCAATAGGAGAACCAGGGCTACAATTAAAAACTTGTTTTTTTGGTTTTTTTTTTTCTCCTGTTTGAGGGCAAATTTTGGCAGCTTACATTACAGAACAGGAAAGCACAGGAACTTACACTCTGCATTTTAAGGAGGTTCCTTTTGTTTAATGAAATGCTGCGTACATCTATACAGCTTTTTAGAGGCAGAGACATGTTTATTCTGCCTATGCTCTAAAGCAGAATACATTTGCAATACAGACCTAGCCCAGGCCAGTAAGCAAAACGAAGAAGCAGAACTTACCTGTCCTTTGTTGACTGATTAGCTCTTTCTACAAGTGGTGATAAGCAATTGCAAACTGAAGATTCACAGTGTGAGGTAACTATTGCACACAAGTACTTCAGCCCAAACTGCCCACAGCCTTTAGTCTTAGCAAAAGGGCATTTTCAACCATGATATGAAAACCATGCAACAATGGAATCCCGAAGAGCCAGGAGCAAAAACCATCACAAACACTTTTTACAAAACATGTAGGTACTCTTTAATAGTCCTAGCCAGGAAGACAGAAATCAGTGCTGTATTTCCAGTCTTATATCCAAGTCACATGGATTCAGTGTTACAACAGACTCAAGTTCCCCTTACAGCACCAAATCACTTTTTCATATCCTGTTTCCCAGATTTAAATGATGTCTTTACCTGGTCCAACTTTTGTCTTTCCAGGCACTAATTTTTAGAGTTCTCTAACTTTGTCTGTTCATCCTCTGAGCTATTTTATTCAGCTTAGGTTGAATAAGCACATCCTAGATGAACAACAGTTGGAAAAAAAGCCAATACCCTATTTATTCACCATATAATATCTATAATAGAAACTATTAGTTACCATCTCATGTTACCTGGAGGTTTTTATGTGAGAAAGACTGAATTAACAGGAAAGCTTTGCCTGGTATAAACTAGTTTGAGCCACTCTAAACAAACAAACAAAAAAAAAACCACAAACCAAAAAAACCCCACAATAATAACACCCACTCAAACACTACCCCCAACCCCACAACCTTCCCTGTGATCAATTCACACAGTATTCCACTTGTGCCTGGGTATTCTCTGCACGACCTGAAAGCATCACTTTTGAATTCAAGAACTTAAGAACTCTTTCCACAGCTGGTAGCTCAGTGAACACAAAAAGGATAAAGGACAGCTAAACATAACCACAATCCAAAAGGTTAAGAACAAATCTATTGTTTTGGTTCTTATTTAGGATTCAACCAAGTGATCTTTTTCTGGATCCAAGTGAAATTTTTTAACCCTCCCATTCTGACTGACACGTGACTGAAATGGTGCACCTATAAAATGACAGGGTCACTTCAGAAAGCTCGAACAGTAAGTGAAAGTACAGGCAGACTATTATCAGCATCAGTTCAGCCTCTTTTTGAGCATTAACAAACTGTTTCAAGGCCAGGCTGGATGTGGCTCTGAGCAACCTAGTCTGATGGTTGGCAGCCCCGAACATAACAGGGGGGTTGAAACTAAATTATCATTGTGGTCCTTTTCAGCCCAGGCCATTCTATGATATGATACGATAGTTCACTCACTATTCAACGTAAGCAGCTATAAGACCACCTCCTTGCCAGCTTCCTTAGTGCCAACTGCAGAAGACAGCTGCCTGTTTCTTCTACTTAACTTAGCAAGAGGGGATTTCTGCTGCTCATTCACTCCAACTAAGCACAAAATGACAGGATTTTCTGTGTTCCTCAAGGAAGTAGCAGCACTGCCACCCCATATATTGGGATAAAAATTGTTTTCTCCCACTGCTACTTGGCATCCACTGTTCCATTTAAACCAGAATAATGAGATATGCTAAGATTTAATTCAGTAATATAGACTAAAAAGCACATACTATTTGCAATGTAGCCACAGACATAAACAGCTGGGCATTATATGTCCAACCACATATAATTTAGAGGTAAAATAAACAAGACAAATGCTAAGGGTAAGTCTGTAAAGATGTTCCATATCCTCTGTGCTTTCCTCACATACATAAGTGATTTGGGCACGGTCAAATAACCCTACAGCAGTCTGAAACACATCACACGTACATCTGAATGACAGTATATTTCAAAGATGTACAAGAAGCTCACATATTCCCTTTCTCCTTGCAAATCCTGAAGCACAGACGATGGCGAAGTGTTCCAGGGTTACACGCAGTCGGTCTCACCATACCTTAGGTCAGGTCTGCCCCATAAAGTACTCACACAGAGCCCTGTTAATCTACACGGGCTGGGGATCTGGTCACAGAGGATTACAGATCAGCTTACCTGATGAAGTGACTCATTTTATCAAATTGCAGATAACTAGCCATCAGATTTGCTGCTGCGATTAGATTTTCAGAGATAAAGAGCCTTCCTATTAGGAAAGCTGTCTGCAGAACAATTGAAAGAAGTTCACTAAATAAAACTGTCAGTAAGCATGTATGTTCTTCATTAGTTTACTGAAGCAGTTGTGTTACTGGCTGGCAGTTCGCTCGAGCTGTCAATCTTTATTAATCACCTACTTAAATGAGAAGTTCATTGAATTACAGCATATTGAGCTATGTGACAGCAGCATCAGTAAAGTCTTTATGTGGCATTCCCTACCAACTTGGCGTTAGCTGTCAGAAGGCTGGCAGGCAGCTCAATGAGGACGCCGTCCTAGCATTTTAAGAACATATTCTTAAAAGAATCCACAGAAAGGAAGAGACCCGGCAAGGAAAAGCCAAGCAGAGCCATCAGAGAAGAGAAGTGCCCATCGCAGAGGCGCGACGCCCAGCCTGCCCGGGGCCAGCGGCAGGCAGGGCGCGGAGCGCACCGCTGCGCACAGGTGTCCGCGGGCGAGACAACCCCGATTCGACCCTTCTCGTTTCGGGAGGGACGGGAAAGGAGACGGGGCCGTTACCCAGCAGGAGGAAGGAGAAGATCCACTGCAGCACCGCGACGGTCTGGATCCTCCTCTTCAGGGGGACATTGATGGGAGCGAAGCGGACCTTCATGCTGAGCCGCGCGGGCGCCGAGCGGGAGCTGGGGAGGCACGCAGCGCCCGGCCCGCACCTGCCGCCTCCCGCCCGCGCCCCGCCCGCCGCCAGCGCTGCCCACGGCCGGCACGGCTCCAGCGGGCGGGGCCGGGCGGCGGGGGCGGGGCTCGGGGCCGGGCGGCGGGTCCCGCGGGGCCTCCGGGCTCAGCGCTCGCCGTAGCCTCGTCTCCCCGTGCGGAAGCCCCGCGTCCACGCCTCGTCCGCGGCCCCGGCGCCCGTTCGTCCGCGCCGGGCCCCGCGGCAGCTCCGCCACGCGAGCCGCGTGCGGGTAGGGGCGGAGACGGGCAGCCCCGCGCTCGCGAGGTACACCAAGAACGCCGGGCTGCCGCGGCGCTCGCTTTTAGCTCCATTTTTAATCGAAGCGGCGCAGACGCAGCACGCGCGCCCACCGTAAAGAACAACCAAACCCCGACCACCCACGGCACCCGGCACCCCCGACTCGGCGGCGGAAGACGCGCGAGGCCCCCGGCCCCGCTGCGGCTGCCCGCCGCTCTGCCTGTTCTCTCGGCGCGGGCGCGGGCGGCGCTGCTGCCGGGCGCCGCGGTCAGGCGCTGCGCGGGGCGCCCTCGCGCGGCGGGGGCCTCGCCGTGCGCAGCGCAGGCGCGCAGCGTGCCGGGCGCAGCCATGCCGACCGTCAGCGTGAAGCGAGAGCTGCTCTTCGAGGCGCTGGGCAGGAGATACAGTGAGTGCGGCGGGCTCGGGCCGCGGCGGGGCTGCGCTGCCCGTGCGGACGGCTCAGGCGCTCGTCTGTGCTGCGTCGGCAGAGCCGGCGTGCCGCCATTGCCGCCCCGGAGCGGCCGCTGTGAACGCAGCGCGGCCAGAAGCGCGCCGGCCGCCGAGGAAACTGCTGCTCACATGCGAACGTGAACAAAATGCTCTGCGCCACTTGTACCCCTTTTTCAAAATGGCCGTTTGAGAATGCCCAAAACAAACACAACATTTAATCGAATCTGAGTTCTGCTTGTAAAGCAAAATTCACCTTTTTTTTTTTTTCTTTCTTTTTTTTTTTTTTTTTCTTCACAGCCGATGAAGAATTTAACGACCTTTGCTTTGAGTTCGGTTTGGAGCTTGACGAAGTCGTGAGTAGCACTGCGGTCTGTTGCTCTGTGGGTAGAGGCAGCAGCCTGACAGCCATTGTGTCTGTACAGATCTGTGGCACACGGCTGGCAGTGAGTTCCTCAGGCAGCATTGAGCCCATGCCTTCTGGAGGGCACCATACGTATCCAGAGCGTGGGGCTGTTCTCAAAAAGGGACACGGGCAGGGCTCCAGCATGCCCTTCTACACATGCAGTCCTCCAGCAGTACAGAAGCAGGCTTGTCAAATCGAAGCATCCTCATATCTCTGCACAGTGTTGTCCAGAGAACACAACGTATCCTGTGTTCTTGTTGCAACATACCACTGTCATCAGTTGTGTTAACACAGCTGGTTTGAATCCGACAAGAAGAACATCAAAAAAATTACCATCTTAGGAACAAGAGACCCTGAGGTGGCATACTGCTATGGCTTATGGAGTTTGGCTCTCTGCCTCCTGTTCTTAAGGCTCTGTCCAATTCAGATAGCAGTATAAGGATGGCCATAGGCCATATATTAGACATACTTTGAAAGATATGTTTGGCCATATTTTGTACACATTTTTGTGTGCAGTGCCACAAGCGTATGTTTGTCCTGGACATTCCATTACCTGAGTTACAATTCATGTATTTTTTTATCCAGGTTCTATACTTGTGAAAGTTTGCTGACCCTACAGTCTGTATCCACATAAGTCTTGAGAAGTACACCACATTTTGTCCTTGTTTTTTAATGGAAATTAATTGTTCTTTCAATTAGGTTTAATCAAAAGATATCCAAACATCATATGTTGTGCTGAATTTCACAACAGACCTGATGCTACAAATCTTTGCTGATCTGTAACAGAAAATGAGGTCTGTGTTCTCTGCTGGGATCTGCCTGCCTGGAGACTTGTGTTTCTATATCTGTTTTCAAAATTCAAATTCTGATAGTGAAGTTTTCTCTTGTTATATATCGTATTACAATCTTTATATCTGAGAAAAATGTTGATTTTACAGTACTTTTGGTACTTGGCATGCTTATTTGCTATATAAATCCAAATTGTGTTTTTAAACTTCTTAAATTAATATTGTTTCCTATGATCTCACTGTCGTAGCGCTGTGAATGTTAAGATATTTCAGATTAAAAAAGGCAAACAGCCATATTTTACTTGATTTCAGACATCCGAGAAAGACATTATAAGTAAGGAGAAAGGTGAAGGAAAGGCAGAGGGTGCATCTGAGGCTGTTCTCTATAAAATCGATGTTCCTGCCAACCGCTATGATCTTCTTTGCCTTGAAGGGCTGGTCCGAGGACTGCAGGTCTTTAAAGAAAGGTAACAGAGTGAGTTAGTTGTGTCTTTGGTTATTTGTTCAAATGAGAGTCCATTTCTGGTGATCAACTTTGACACGTGATTGGGTTTTGAGGACAATCTGGTGTGTAAATCAGGTATATTTGTTAATGTCTGTATGTTTCATGACTGCTTCTCTGCAGAGGAGGACTTGTTAAATACTCTTATAAAACTAGACAGAGTGTTACATTTTGAATCTGTTCTAAAAGTTTTTCAACTGCTATTCCATTTGAGACTTATCCTCTGTAAAAAACTCCTGCAGTGGTACTTCTCTGTGGTCCTGTTATAAATACCAACATAATTTATTTCACTTCCATTATGACTTTATCTTCCTGAGAGCTTTCTTTCTATTTTAGTTATGTGTTTACCACTCAGTAGAAAATTTGAGGTTTAAACATCATAAATATAATCTAGATACCCAAGTTCCAATGTCCAAAACAAGAACAGTTGCCAAGAAAATATTCTACATGCATTCGCTCTTGCACTTCTGAAAAGCTTTCTGAATTTTGCACATATTTTGTCCTTTAGTTACATATTTATTACTATCTTTATTCTAGGATAAATCTCCCAAGGTATGAAAAGATAATACCAGCTGAAGGTGAAGGTCAGAAGCTGATTATCACTGCAGAGGTAAAAGTGTTTACTGCCCCACTGTATATTTATTGAAAGTTTCTGAACCAAGAAGATAATATCAATAGCCATTTTATGACTGCAGTGAGACCAGAAATCTTACTTGCAGAACAAGATCTAAAGAAATTTTAATGCCTCTACTGAGTGTGATTTATTTTTAGGGACTACGAAGGGAAAGAACAACAGGCAAATTATTGTGGGTGAACCTAACTGCAGATCAATTCAAAGCTTCAGACATTTGTATTGCATTTAGCTTCTGGGCTGTGCCGGACTTGAAGTTTTTTGTATGGTTTTGCTTCCCCTTGAATTTCTACCATATTTCCAGAGTTTTTCCTTGTGATTGCTACTCCACTGAAAAGAAAAACAAAAAGGGAAAAATCAGTTCTTGTGTCTTTTATATTCGAAATTTATAATCTGTTGCTGTTGCAAATTGCAGACTGTCAAAATCCGTCCTCATGCTGTAGCTGCAGTCCTTCGTAACATAACTTTTACCAAAGAACGTTATGACAGTTTCATTGACCTCCAAGAAAAGCTACACCAAAATATTTGCAGGTTAGTGCTTAAATTCGAATACTATGTAGTGCATGAGCATGATTTGATTTTCTGTTAAGATTTCACTACCCTATTGTGAAGAGACATTATATATTATGTTCATATTAAAGAAAATACACCATAGCCACTCCTTCTTGCTCCTTCTCATTTCTTTGTCCATTTCTATCTGCTCTCAGATACAGAGTATCATAAGTTGCTATCTCAAAGGAACTCCAAAAGTTACTAGCAAAATCATTATTTTGTCTTTCAGGAGAAGAGCGTTAGTAGCAATAGGTACCCATGACTTGGACACCATTTCTGGTCCATTCACTTTTACAGCTAAAGCACCTTCTGAAATTAAATTCAAGCCCTTGAACCAATCACAGGAGTACACAGCTTCACAAATTATGGATCTGTATAGGGTAAGTGTGATTTTTCAGCGTTACTGTGCTAAGTAGAGGAAAACAGTTTCCAAAGCTTAACATCTAATACCCTTGCATGTAAGGGTTGCTCTTACAAGTAGAACACAGCCATATTCTGTAGCTTCAGCCAGTGAACATGATAAGTGCGTGGCAATACTTAATTTGTATTGCTCATGAAAGATACATCATGGTGCTTGGTGCCTAAACGTAACTCTTAAAATAGTGGTCTCAGTGTTAAACTCCACTGATTCATTGACACAAAGGTAAGTTTTCATACTATTGTAAATGGGTTATGTTCTTGCCTACACTGGTAAGATGTTCATTGTACAAAACTGAAAAAAAAGCAGGTGTAAATAATACCAAACTTTAAAATGTTGTTTCAATTGGGCCAGCTTGATGGCGACGTTGAGTTACCCAGCTACATATTAGTCAGCTGTAGCTGTGTGAAAGACTCAGTTAAAGTTTGGCGTCATCTTGGCCTAGCATCCTTTTGAAATCAGGTAAACATTAGGAAATCCCATCAGGTCTAATTTTATAATTACTATATTTGAAAATACACTTATTTTCAAATAAGTCAGTATTTGAAAATGATACTATTACAATTAAAATATACGGTAGTGTTAGAGCACACATACAGAGGTAAAAGAAATTCACAATGATATCTGACTAAAGGCTAGTGAAAACTAGGAGAAAAAGAGGTCAGAGAGAATAAAAGTTAACTGTGTTTTTGGTAGAATACACATTCATGTCATTGGAACAGATGCAAGTTTTGAATCAAGCATAAATGTGTAAAGCGCTAAACCCTGACAATTAAAAGTACCTAAATGAAGTTTTTTATCACTTCTAAGGAGAATTCTGATAAACTAACGATGGGTACCCATGGGTTTGGCAATGGAAGGACTGTTGCAGTGAACAAAGACTTTGTTTAGGTAGCACGCCTTAAGCATCTTTGAGAGAATCCTTAAAGAAATAGTTTTTAATATTTCTGAAGAAAAAATTCCAGCTCTCTCATTTAAAGATTTTCCCACTTCTGAGAGCAAGCATCTTTTGCT